TTGCGCGTGTGAGGTTTGTTAGGGGACGGGATATAAGGGCGAAGTCTCTGATCCACGATCGAATGGTGCCTACTGTCCCGAGAAAACCGCGCACCTGAGTTTTTGTTGAGCAGGGGGGCCAGTGCGTGATTTTCGCTACCTTCGTCTCGTCGGGGATGCGTCCTTCATATGTACAGAGCTGCCCCACGACGAGAACCTCGGGCACGCAAAGGAATAATTTTGAGGCCGATATCGTAGCTCCAGCGTGCTTCAAACGATGCAGAACGCGATTTGCGTCTGCGCAGTGCTCCCAGACGAACCTTCTGATGCCCGCGTTGTCGGGAATGAGTTCATATGAGCCGTCAGGTAGCTCGTAGCGCGTGTGAGGCCCCAAGACGTTAACATCGTCCTGGAAGTTAGGGGCGATGTCGGTTTCGGCCTGTAAGATGAACGCAACGTCGTTCTGGAACACGGCTGGTGAGTCGGTCCATCCCTGCGGGAGAACGGTGAGTCGATAGGTGCCGAGGGGAGTTTGGAAAGTGGTGATGTCGCGGGATTCCTCTGCGAGCGCGCGATGGTCGAAGCCGACGAAAAGATCCATCATGGAGTAGATGGCGCGCCCAGCGCATTGCTCTGCGAAGAGCTCGACGTAGGGCATCGTGGCGGCGTCCTTCACGGTGATGGAATTGAGCTGTTGGAGGTCATGGACGATGCGCACGGCCCCGCTTTTCTTCGCGACGCAGAACCAGCGGGACTGATAGGAAGAGTTCGACGCCTCGTAGACGCCGGATGCGATTTTCGACTTGATGAGTTTGACGACCTCGTCCTTGATGCCAGGAGGTATGGGAGGTTGGCGGTGAGTCCAGGGGGTGTGCTCGATGGTGGGGATGACTACTGGAGGGAAGTAGTCGTCGCGAAAGCGACCTTTCTCCGTTTCGTCCCAGGCGAGCGCAAGCTCGTTGTTCATGAGATCGTGCGCGGCGAGCTTTCGTTCTTCTGGGAGGAGGAACGTGTTCTTGAAGATGCCGAGGTCGTCCATGCGGCTTTGGGTGAGGCGAGTACCGGGTGTGAAGGCAGGAGGGGTAGTTGAAAGGGGTGGAAGGGATGCAAGGGGGTCCTCTGGGAAATGGCGGATGATGCGCGCGTGTGCTGGCATGGTGGTGGCCACAGGCCTCACCTTGTTGGCAACTTTTTTGTAGGCGAAGGTGCGGCGGACCGGGTCAATATCGAGGTGCGCTTGGAGGAGGGATTCCGCGAAGGGGGAATTGGAAAGACTAGAGGTGGGAATAAAAGAGGGTTTTGATGGGAGTGGTACTGGAACGGGCTCGTGTTTTGGTATACCGGGCGATGATGGGGCTGGTACTATACGGGTAGTACAGTCCTCCATACCTGGTGGTGTTGGTGGCAATGCGGTTGAGGCTGGGGATGTTGATGTAGAATAACTCGGAGACGGGGTATCTGGTGTTGTTGGTGGGGTAATGTACGTGCTGGGTGGAGGATATGCGGGTTTTGGTGGAGAAGGGTAACGATGACCATACGATGGAGTAGTCGCCAAAGCGGTTGGAGGGATTTGCGGAGTAGATAGAAGTGTGGGGCGGGGATGTTTGATGGCATGGTAGATGTTAGTGGAGCTGGTTGGGGGAATTTGCGGAGTAGATAGAGCTAAGGATGGGAAGAGAGAAGGGAGAACCGAGGAGAGTACTGAGGCTGTTAATGCGAGGGAGGGATGGGGCCAAGGACGAGGAGAAGTTTTGACGGTGCGAGTATTGCTGGGATCCCGTGGGTCGTGAACTGCAACGTGAACGTCGTCAGTATCCTCGGCTTTGGAGAGACGAACCAAGCGTTGCCAAGGTCGTCCTAAGAGAAGACGGTAGGGGGCTTCTGGTACTACATATGCGTGGGCCCAGGTCTTGATACCTTCCACGTCTATCTCTAGCATCTCCAGGCATCCAGCCATCTCCTGCGATCCTCCGTTGGCGGTTTGCATGCGCATCCGTGCGTCTTGGTTGATGGGGGCGTTCGTCTTTCGCCAGACGTCTTCACGAATCACCACGATTTCCGAGCCTTCGTCCAGTAGCGCAAGTTCGGAGTGGGAGCCATTCAGCGTCACGCGAATTTCGCGTAGGGGAGTCGCATGCTCGATATGCAAGGGAGGGGTGGTGGTAGCGGTGACGAGGGTTTTTGCTGGGGGTAAGGTGGTGGACGTTGGTACTCGTTGGGTGCGGGAGTGTTCTACCGCCTCCTTTCTCAGGTCAGGACTGATGGCTAGAAGGTCAGATATGGTTAGCTGAGGGATGGGAGTGCTGAGGATGGTCTCGTAGAGACGTTTTGCTGCGTCTGGCGAGTTCGCCTTTGACTCATACCGAAAGGCCGGTTCTTTCTTGGATTCGACGGAGGTGGATTGTGCTGGCAGGGAGGAAGGGGTGTATACAGGTGCTGGAATGGAGACGGAACGTGTTGCAGGAGTTGGAGAAATAGTTACAGGTGCTGGAATGGAAACGGAACGTGTTGCAGGAGTTGGAGAAATAGTTACAGGTGCTGGAATGGAAACGGAACGTGTTGCAGGAGTGGTTTCTGCGGCTTTAGCAGCCTTTGCCTTGGATCGAGTGATGGCGAGCGCATCTGCTGACTGCTCGTCGTCAATTTCTTCTACGGTGGTGATAACCGCGTGGTTCTCTGTCACGGGTTCGCACTGTAGGAAGTATGATTCTGAGATGAAGGCGGAAGGAGGGATTTCTGGGGGTGCTGATGGCGTTGGAAGTTCTTGTCGTGGGTTTTCGAGGACGATGGCGTTTGATCCTGTGGCTGGAGTGGCAGGGTGAGGAGATGCGTAACGAGCGTCGATAACCTGTTTGAAGGTCTCGTCTCCATATCGTCGTATACGCGATCGGTCGGGATACGCGAAGTACTGCCCGTCGCGGATAATTCGTCCTGCGCGCAGATAGTCTCCTGCGATAGGGCAGGCGCGTAATACATGCGGTCCACCGCAGAAAAAACACTTAGCATGCTGTGAGTAGTTGGAAGAGGAAGGAAGGGGTGGAAGGGGTAGATAAGGCAGGACTTGCGAGTTTGGTGCTGGAGAGGGCGTGCTAACCAGTTGACGGGACTTGGGGGGTGCCCATGCTTGCGCAGCAGCAGGTGCTAGACATACTAGCCGGGTGTAACATCCTGAGTAGGCGACGTCGCCAATATCGAGGCCGTGCATTTTGCGTGCCAGTGCTTCTACCTCGTCGATAGTATTCTTGACGGGTACTGGAGGAGGGGGTGTGAATGCGACTCGCTTGGTTTGTACTTCTCTTCTGGCGTCCTTTCTGTCTTCTTCTTCGTCATCTGAATCCCATGGGACGGTGGTCTTTGCTTTGGGGGCGCGTGCTTCCCGTATCGTGCGGATTCGTGTTGCTATAGGCTCGTTGAGGTCTGTATCGAAGGCGTCATCTGAAAACACAAAACGTCCTGCTTTTAAGACTTCTTCAAAGTCAGTAGCCTCTGTTCTTGAATAGTCGACATCCTTAAGCTCCAGTCGTCGATCTATGGCTCGTCGAGCAGAAGCAGGTAAGCCTTGCCAGAAGTATCGGTCCCTTTCTCGCGTAGATATCTTGCTGTTGGCGACGAGCCAGTGTGCTACGGGGCGAAACTGCCTGTAATACTGTAGTAGTTCCGTCTCGGTTGAGATATCATTGTCGATGTTGCTGATGACGATGCGCTCGAGGTCGCGAATTGAGTACCGCTGTCCCTTAGCTGCTCCTGAGTATTGCGCTAAGATATTCGTTTTGAAAATGGCGAAGTCCTTGCTTTCGTATCCCGTGAGCGTTACCCAAAAACGCTTTGTCTGAATGTCAACGTATCGCACTATTGTCTTACACTTTTCAGCGTCAGTGAGAGCACATGCCGATGCCAGATCCTCAAATAATTCAAAAAACTCTAAGAGTTCGGATGTTTCACCGTTGAACGCGGGAGCCTTGCTGGAATTTGCCCCGGGCATGGCATTTATGCCTTTGGAGGCATTGGACATGGTGTTGGATGTTTGGGAGTGTGCAGGTGGGGGTACGACAAGAGGCGGGGGAATTATAGGTTGTGGTTGGGTGGCAGTGAAGACGTGGTTGGGGGGTATGGCTTTGCGAGGGATGAACTCGGGTTTGGGAATGGGGTGTGTGTTTGACGTTGCAATAGAGGGTTGGATATGTGCGTCTTTGGGAGGGACTTGAGGGATTGTGGGTGTTTCGGGGTCGAATATGGCTGGTCTGAGAACGAAGGTCGGTTTGGCAGTTATGGCAGGAAAGGGTGAGTTCGCGCGTGGGGGTAGATTGATAAGGTCGTCGTCCGATAGGGACGACTCTGTGGGTCCGTCTGTTGTATCAGGGAAGGGCCTTCCTCGTTGTTCTATTCTAGGGCGAGCTGGGGTGATGGCAAACGAGTTGGAAGCGGGTAGTACTGTGGATGATGAGGAAGTGGTGAGGGCGTTATAAGTATTGGCACGACTTCGACGTTTGTTGGTGGACGTTTGCTTCGAGGGTGCCAGCGCAGATGGCTCGTTCTGCTGGAGACGTAGCTGCGCGTTGGGATGGTAGTATTTAGATATGGCGTGCGGGTATAGGGATCAAGGACCGGGATTCTGAAAGGTCGATCAGTAGATCGGGAACGGATCAAACGGATCAAACTTGGGTGCAAGGGGTTGTTCGAGAACAATTCCCCTCGCGGTGGGCTCCAAATATGTAAGGCTGACTATGAGTTCGATGGGGAATTTGTTCTAGACGCCTCGAGTTGCGAGTATAATAGATAGCTTAGGCTGAGTATAAAGAGGATTTCTGTGCGTTCTTTCTGAGAGGCTTCTTGGAGCGGGGAATCAACGGGTCAATTCTGCTACTGTAACGAGTGCACATTCGTGGTATATAAGTGTTTCGAGCCGAACGATTAAGCCGAGAGTCGAGCAAGTAGCATGTGGAAATGGAAAATAAGTCGGCGAAGGACGGTGATGATGGGTTTCGAGCATATGGTACAGTAGGTAAGGAGAGTTAAGAAGGAATGTGTCCACGTACTCGGACGCGAAGAGTGGAACTCTTCGCGTTAGTGAGTACGTGGCTGTGTTCGAACTTAGTAAGTTCGAACGCCTTGTTTTGAAGCTGGGTCGGGGCGTAAAGGATATCATATCCTTACACCTGGGGGAAAAAGGGTTGAAACGGAGGGATGGAGGGGTCGTGCAATGGCCCTGGGGCCATCTGAGGCTGGGGGAAACAGGGTACCAATGGAGGTGGGATGGAGGGGTCGTGCAATGGCCCTGGGGCCATCTGAGGCTGGGGGAAATAGGGTGCAAATGGAGGATGGTAGTACAATGGCCCTGGGGCCATCTGAGGCTGGGGGAAATGCGCTGCGAATGGAGGAACGGCTACATGCCCCGTCATATCCGGCATGAGGGGGGGCTGTCCATATTGTCCCATACCAGCATCGACCACTGCGGTCTCCATTCCGTGCGCTGTGGGAGCCGGCCCAGGTGGAGCGTACTGAGATGGATCGGCATACATATCGAATGGCACAGGTTCGGCACGTTGGGGTTGGGGTTGAGGCTCGTCTTGGGACGGGCCTGGGATGGAACTTTGGCTCATTTCAGTCGCGTAGTGGTCCATAGTTAATGATAGAATGCTTGAGATGTAATGTTGATGGCGCCAGGCCTTATACTGTGGTAGGACAAGATGAGCGATAGAAGGTGGAGAAAGTGTACAAGAGTAACTCGCAATGCACAAGTTATATGGCAGATGTTTGGAAGGAAAGTGCGATGGATGTTGAAGAGAAGTAGAGGGACGCAGGTAGCAGTATTTAAGCTGTTGGAACCCCGACTAGATGTATGTCACACTTTGGTGTTTGGTGGACGTTCCAAAGCGTCTCCGACATATCACTTCCTTTTTCGTATGATTGTCCACACCTTTTGCCCATACTAAGCGGCATAGTGAGCACAGCCTGGTGTCATACAAAGGAATGCTTCCACCGACCAGATTTGACAATGGCCAACATGCCCGGATAATCCCCCACGAGGCTGCGGGAACGACCGACTAGCGTGACCGTCGTGAAGAGTAGAATAAGGTATTGGTGAACAAACATTGAACACGACGCGGTGGATCTCAATATTCAGATTCCTTTGCCCTTTGGCTGAGCATGTTCTTCGTGTATACGGACATGATTTTTTTTTGTATGCTGCTGGATATTGATTGCTTCCAAAAATTGTATACACGAAATCTAATCGACAGGATTTATCAATATAAATATATTGAACAAGAGATTGCGTGCTTATTGACACCACCGAATGATATGCCCGTCCAACCGCCAATAGAAGGGTGCGTCTCTCCAACTCGTCTAACTTGCATCGCGTCTTCAGATGGCCAGGAGCAGGTCCACGCATAGTAGAATGAGATCTCCACACCTCTCTTCTCTATCACATGGCACTTGGTCATCGTGCGGCTGAATGAGAACCCTGCGTAATAGTCTGGCGCGTGATCTCCGTCTGCGTAAAGTGGAACATGTGAGATCACGACAAGGGACCATGCAAACGAAGTTCGAGGTAAGAACCATACTATGAAGTCAAGCGCGACTGGTAACTTAACCTCATGCATCGCCTCGCAGATGTAGTCCCATCTGAGATCGCTGCGTACCCGCGGGATGTTGGTCAGTGCTGGTCCTTGACTTGAGATTCGAGTTGACTTGGACTAAATTTGGGTAGGGGCCTGCCCGCCGTATGCTTGGGCATTCCTATGATGGATGAATGCGTTATATTTCCAGTGAGACATAGACAAGCGCAGCATAGAGGGTCCGCATCAGCCGACATGTTTCCGTCCCGCGTATGGCACATTTTAAGTGCACGCAAGGTCAAGGTGGGTGGAGAATGATGTGCATTGTATTCAAAACACATACCCATTACAAGGGTTTTTACAATAGCTCTCAAAAGCGCACAACCCGACAACCGACTCCACCGCACTCGAAAACGGGACCGACTGGCGACATGCGAATAAATTACAATACTCACCAATTTCCTAGTGCTAGGCGCAATGCTCAGATCGAGCACCGAGAAAAGTGGTGAGCGTGAGGAATGTCAGTGGTAGAGAAACGCAGATGATGTTAAGGGGGACGAGGGTGTATATGTGTATGTCGTTTGAGATCTGAGAGACAGAGTGTGACACGATTCAGAAGTCATATCATAGCTATAGAATGGGAGAGTCTGTTACCTCCAGGTTAGGGTCAGAATGGGTGAAGCAGGAATGGGCGAATCCGCATGGGAAGTAGAGGGAGCGGGTACAGATGAGCGTCAGATGAAGCCTGATCGAATTTAAAAGTATGAACTTCGATGTCTGGAAGCTAGCTATAGCGCTCACTGGCACGGTTGAACTCAAAAACTGCAGAATCTTCGAGTCACGGCATGTCAACAACGACAAACAAACATGGCTTGTCGCCGCACAACCATACGCGGTAACTTGGAATCATTCAAAACGAGTACACGTCCATCCGCCTCTTTTTCATGCTTAAACATTGCAGGTGTTGCGTCCATCTCTTATATTTTAACTCTAACCTACCATTCCTTATGTACACTTGTTTAAGGAACATGAAAATTCGACAAGGTACGTACTTTTCTTGCTCACACTGGCAGAACACCCGTTTCAGCGCTCACGCTTTGATTTAATTTTTCAGAGCAACTCTTCCACATTGCAGTATCTCTCCGTACTTATAACCTGTGAGCTTTCAAGTATGGTCCAAGATCAGACGGGCAAGATAATGTCAACTTATGGATGGAGGTGCTTGTCCCTCTGGTCACCACGGCGTCCCTGTTCGGTTGTTTCACTTTGATCCTTGTGGTGCTCCAGACTCACTTCTTACTGCAGACTTCATTCGCCGACACATTTCGTTGATAAGTCCACGCTTCGTTTTGAATAGCTGTTGGGCAATACGTGTTTGGGTGCTCGCGTACCCAGCTCATTCTGAACGTGGTGAGTCGCTGCAGGTAGCGTTTTTAAGCGATTTACAATGATCGCTCTCAACTCGCCAGTGCTGTTGCTTTGCATGCGACACGGACGCCCACTCCGACTATATTGACGTGTAACTCACGCTTCTCATTTTTATCGAGGCGTTCTACCGCAATAATATTGTCTTTTCTAGTGGCTACGCTGTTGCTAGTGTCCCAGTAGGGTATGAACCATCATCGCGTTCAAGGTCAGATGGGTGAGATTTTGTGATTCTATGCTGACTATGAGTGTCATCAGGGTGTTCGTATTCGGCGGTCCTAGTGCGTATGGCTAGTAATGGAAAAAAAGAAATTGCACTCAGCACGATCAGGCGCTGATTTCGTGATGACCCCGAACAATTTCCACTTTGCCAGCCTGCCGACACTGCTCAGTTGCTGATAAGTACACGTTACATCTCACTCCAAACCAAAAGCTAACATCGAATGCAGCCAGGTGATCGGGCACGTCTCACGCTGTCATTCTGGCGCTGGTGAGTTAGGTACACAGGCAACCCAACCCAAATCGCCAGCGCTAGCGATGCACATTCCGCACCAATTCCGACTTTGATCAGTTGCTAATAAGCACAATTCGCATCACATTCATTCTAAATCATTATTAATTGTGCACGCCTCAGGCTGTTCTGGCGGTGGTGTGTTGAATTAGGTGTTTGATAGTATTCAGAAACCTAATGCAGCTCGCCAGCGACAGTGACATGCCATACCATGTATCACGCGCAATCTATTATCTCCACCTGGCTCGTATTCAGTAGTTTTCCCTATAAAGGACAAAGTGTATTCAACCTCATCTGAACTTCCAGCGCGAATGGACAAATGATTCGAATCGGCTGTAGCAGGCAATACACTCTTGGGTGAGTCGAGTATCTACAAATATCACCATCATTATCAACGCTGGGACCACTCACAGATCACAACGCGCTGCTGCTTCGAACGCAGCAAATAATTGAGATATCGTCATCAACGGACGCAGAGAAACAGATGCATCTCAGATTGTTGTGCCTTCCATCGTGTATGCTGGCTGGTGTACCCCTTGACCTTCAGGTTCGTGACAAGAACAATACTGATCTTTCCACGAGTTAGCTGTGTCCTTGCGAAAAAGATAGCACAGCTATCTCGCTAGACCTACCATTGGCGTGTTGAGTGCAGAGCAAGTCTTCTCTGGTGAGTGGACCAAAGTGTGACCTTGTTTTTCAAGATGTGGGCTAATGGTTTGTTCTTATTCGTTGGTGGGTATTGAGCGCAGAGCAAGGTTGTGCCAGTTTTCTCTGGCGAGTAGGCAGTCCCGCTGTTATAGGCCCGTTCTTCTCAATCATCGCTGTGCTTCTCGTTTTCTCATCAAATTCACGCTGAATTATAATTTTAATCATGCTCTAATACGATGTATTCAGGTGGTATCGCACGCCTCATGCTGTCGTTGTGGTGCGATTGGAGTGGGATGTAGATGGAATTGCACAGGACACTGAACCGAACTCGCCAGAACCTGGTAGGGATGTACATGCCACACCATGTATGACACGGACACGTTCTCGCAGTCTACGCATCTCCAACCACCAGGGCGCCAGTTACTGTTATCGATACCTGGGCTGGCTACTTTTTTTTTTTTTTTTGAATCCAATTATTGTCCTTTGCAGAAGTACATCTATGTAGGACATTACAATCTAGTCTAGGGGCCCCCAGTGCCCCTTTTGCATCTCCAGATGCGCGAATGCCCTGTTGTGAGGCGTACCCCCATCAGTCCGCCGTTCCCGCCGGCCGTTTTAGACGCGCCATCTTGTTGATGGGATGACTTTAAGTTTTCGTACGTGTTTTAAATAAGAGGCTATCATATGGTTGTCTGGACGCGTACTCTGTCGCCTGGGGCGACGGGTACAGGAATCGGGTGGGATGCAAACAAGATATGAGGCCGATGTGATGCGCGATCGGCTTTGGTTGTGTTCGTCTGATACCTCTTCTTTGGCCGGTGATTCCGTGTAGTTGAGTATATTTGGTGTGTGATACAATTTGGTGTTACAGATTTTGGGGGGATAATAGGTGTTGGTACAGATTGGATAAGGGCGGAGTTCTGAGCATGTGTTCTTCTCGTTTGGATGCTTTTCTATGAGGACTAATTGTGTTGATCTGGGGGCGGACGAGGTAACGGGATCTCACCAAACGTTTTACGGAATCTCTGGGTTGCATGCATCAGGAAAACCACCGGTCCCTTTTTCCTGCTTATGTTACTTTTTATCCTTAATATGGAATAAATCCAAGTGAAAACACTGCTTTTCCCACTTAATTGACTTTTGCGAAAGCGCATTAAGACACACTTAAGCTCACAAGTCCAGACCACCAAAAAAGCGAGAAAAGTTGTATTTACGCAATAAGTGATAAATGGTAGTAGTACTAGTAGTACTAAGTCACCCATTATCCTCGCCGTTAATCCGAGTTGTGGTTCGAACGTCGAAGGTAAAGCGTCGTAACAAGCGCTCATGCAGGTGTGGCAAATATGCACACCACTCGCAGAAGGGTGGCCAAGCACATTGAGCTGTCTTGTAGTAGTAGTTTTGCGTCATTTGGAATGTAGTATAAATGAGCGTGAACATTACTTACCTTGGTGTACTAGAGGTCGTGCGTGGTACAGAAGCACCGCGCTTTATAAAGCGGTGCTTGTCTGAAAGAAGAAGGTGTCGGGAGAGGCCGATTTGGCAAATATCGGTAAGTACATGAGCATCCACTCACCTATAACACGCTCAACTGTGAGAACGATGGGCCCTCACGATCCTGTAGGTGGCCTGCATGCTATGTAGATGGCCGATCACTAACGAGTGTGATCAACAGGAATTAGTCCGAGCGCCAACTCTTGTGGAAACGACACCGCAGGTCTACCGTAGATGCGGACGAGGGCGACGGCAGCTGGTTGAGGCAGATCGGCTAGACGTGCCACTGGATGTGGTGGATGAGGTGGTTGGGGTGAGGGTGGGGTTGTGGAGGAGGTTGAGAGGCTTTCTGGGCCGCTGGAATCGAGCGCTGCTTGCCCGAATCCATGGTGTGGCGTAATCTTCGGGCTGCTGAAGGTATGACGCACATCTTATCATGTCAGTTCATTTCCACACAATAGAGGGCGTACAGGTGAAACTACATGCTCAGTTTGCCGACGTGAATCAGCAAGGATCTTGGTTGAACGATCTCTGTCATGGGCACCATCGAGATGGGGCTGTGGGTGTAAGTAAGGAGCAGTAGTCACAACAACATTCATGTAAAACATACCGGTGTAGAGAGTGATATCTCTACAGGCTCGTATTCCCCTATTCCACCATCACCCTCATCACTATCCTTAGACAAGTGCAAGCCTATAGAGTCGCAAAGGGCTTGCGCGGCCACTCGCGCTTTACTGCATAGCGCGCGCTACACGCGCACCCCTTTCTGCATAGAGGCGCTATACTCGGCACATCCTCCCATGTCTTCCCATGTCCTGTCTCGTCTATCCGGCTCCGTTGGTGCGTATTCCCACTCTTATTACCATCGCTGACTACATCCAGGGTCTCTTACACATAGCATTACATACATCCGCTTCCCTTACGCTTCCGCGCTACCTATCCGCTTCCCTTACGTCTCAATACCCTGAGAGCGCGTGTAACAACTTACATATCTAGAGGACTCAGAGATTTCGGCAGTCACATTACTTTCCCTTACTTGGACTCTGCATTTGTTTTTCGGTCGGGTCGAGCTCCAAGCTCTAATATCATCACTGTTATTGTTTATCATCTCTCGGGCTAGTCTAAGACTCGATTCCATACTCTCCGAAGCATTCCAACTGTCAGCCGCCGCCTATTTCCTTATCTTGCGCATCCTGCGCTTCAGTGGTCCTCTTCCGCATACCGCGCGGCCCCAGTGCCTTTCTTGCGCTTCCAGCGCTTCCGTCGCGCATCTTCCGCGCGCCCTTCGCATCTCTTAGGCTCTAGCCATCTCCTTGATCCCTCTCATTATTTGAGAGACTGCCTCAGTAGAATCCCCTAAGGGACGAATCTATTAGCTCGCCTCTCGAGGTAGATATCTTTGTGACTCCACGGAGTTCGCATCACTATTTTCCTCACCCACACCGGGCTTTGGGGTTGGAGCGCTAGGAGGCGGCCTTGACATATCAACCTGACGACGAGCAGTTTTGTGCTGTAAATCTCAATTTAAAAACTCGATAGTACGAAAAAAAACTAACAGAAGTCCAAGTCGATGATTCAGGAGGGGCACGCCGTTCATCGTTGTTGATAAACCGAGAAGCCGGGGCGCTGTCATGAGTGGTCGACGGTGGCGAGAACGTTGTGGTGGCAAAGGTATCCGTTTTCCAGAGCCTGAACGAGCAAGAGATGCATGCGAATGGCAGACGACATTGGCATGAATGAGGAAGAGTGGATGGGTGAAGAATATGTACGTTCGATTGGAGGCAGATCTGGCGGGCATAACAAGGCCGCACCTGTTCGGATCATTTTCTTCAGGACAATGGGTGGGTGCCACTGCATGGGAATGCATAGGCAGATGAGGGGGCACATGGATAGAGTATAGGAGGCGCAACAGGACTATGCCTGTTCGGATCATTTTCTTCAGGACGGTGGGTGGGTGCCACTGCATGGGCAGATGAGGGGGTGCATGGATAGAATATAGGAGGCACAACAGGACCACACATGTTCAGATCATATTCTTCTGTGAGGTGGTGAATGAGTACCGCTGTGTGCCAAAGCGAAGGGGGCACGAACAAAGATGGCCTCTGAAGGCAAATGCGACGGTAATTCATTCCTCTGAGCATGTGATCACGTCAAAAGAGTGTCTGTAGTTGGCCTTTCAGTAATTATTTGAGTCCGAGTCAAACAGTCCTACTTGAGATGCGATCTCAAATGCATGATGATCTGCAAACTTGTTTATATAGAATGCTCTGAAAGCATCATACGAGTCATAGTGTTTGAAGTCCTGTGGGATGGTATGTGTTCCATAGATTGGGATGAGGTGTGCAGCGCAATAAATAGAATCAATGTGGACGATTCCAACTGATGGAGAATGGTCAGCATCATACGAAGGTCGCACTACCCACATCCCAGTGTCCTCGTCGGGCCTATCATTGGCTTTGTCGAACCAACGCACCACAGCGCATGGGTATGAAACTGCCTCGAATGTCAAAGAGAAAAAACACATCACTCGTGCTATTTCCATCCCCCCCATCCCTTCGACACCTGCATCTGTGTTCACAAACACGCAGTCATATCGCGGTGCCTCATTCCTCCAAAGAGGACAAGCACGAATGTGCTCACGGCGCATGCCACCAATCCCGCTGCGGTCGCTAGGTGCATAGAATGTCGAAGATGCGGAGTTGAAGACTTGAATCTTGCCATCGAATCGAGGACAGCTTGCAAGTGGGACTTCAAAGGGAGACCGCTGGTCATCTGGGTTAACTTGTTTGAATAGAAATCGGCGGAGGAGGTTGTAAAGATGGGGGATGGTGAGTTCCACAGATAAGTCAGGTACAGTTCGTGCGCGATTGCATTCTGCACAATGTTGAAAATTAAACAAGGTATTCACAATCAAATATAAGCTGGCTTACGGGGTGTTTTTGCCAACTGAACATGGGCCTGCACCAATGTCGGGCTGTCGATAACTTCACCCTCTTCATTGTCGCCCTGTATAGTAATATCAGGGTCGGGGAGTAGCAGAATGCTATTCTCGTTGGGTTGATAGGGCTGGTTGGCATTAGGCTCTGTATTTAACCGCAACCGCTCTAGTATAGATTTTAAGTAAACAATCAAGATGATAGCGCTCAAGAAACTCACTTAATGCTCGAAGTGTTTCTGACAGACAAGTGCCATTCAGCATCCCACGGCTCTTGAAATAAATGCGCAAGGCTGCAAGTTTATCAAGGCGCTGGTTTGTCACCAGCATTTGACCAAGGGCTTTGTAGCGACTTGAGCGCCTCCATGGTTCCTTTACAGCTTTGATGTGCTTTGTCTCGGTGATCGAGGAACAAAGGCCATTGGGTGCGCCAAACAGTCGGATCAGGAGGATGTAATGGGAACAAGAGTGTTGTCGAGGGAGGGAGAATGTGAGAACAACACCAGTGGACTCAAAGATCTTCCGGTAATGATGGAATCGGTTGAGAGCATCCTGGATTTGAACCAGTGTGGATTCCGTAATGATATTACGCCGTACGAGATAGCAGAATTCAAGAAATGCACGAAATGTGCGCACGACATCCACTGGGACGTGACCTTCAATGGCGGGTAGATAAACCTGGACTGTTGTTAGTCTGGCAGTCACGACATTCTAGAAATAACTTACCTTCATAAGCGCTTTTGAATCATTGCCGGTCCATTGTTTGAATCCTTGACCTTGTGGAAAATGTTGAAGACCTGAGAATGAAGCAACTGCAGCGATTCTTCCATGACGTGAGCCTTAAAACGTCGAACTTAGACAAAAGGACATACCTTCGATCTATATCATCTTGAATTTTTTCCGCTCCTTTCTTTCCATGCACGTGGAGCAGATACTTTCCAACCCACTCAACTAAATGATCCTTGAAGGTCCCTTTAATCAATTGATGTAGGAGGTCCGGTGCGATAAGTTCATGAATATCAGCTCGAGGGAAGTCATTTGTAAATGGCTAGCAAGGATTAAATTATAACTGCAGTTCTACAAGAAGACCCATGACTTACGACGAGGTCATTGATGATCCCATACTCGTCCCACAGATCGGTAGATGTTACTTCTTCAACAAGTGCTTCGGTATGGTCACGATTGCGACACAACGACTCAGAGTCCAAATTTTTGCGGTGTGACATACACCTATATATTAAAAAACGGTAAGGCAGAAGGTACATTACAATTACTGATAGGAACCTACCTTGGACACCAAGAGCGCACTATACACGCCAATAGAACCTGCTCTTCATAATCAGCAATGTAGGGCCCAAGCCCATAGATTACACGCTGATAGTGCCCGTCACCAAAGCGCACAACCTCTGGTTTGGTCATGGCGGGTCTTAGGTTCTCAAGAATCTTCGAGATAGATGAATGAAAGAGTTGCCGGCGATATTTCCGATATTTCGGGCAGGAGGCATGCTCCTTCGTAGCTGCTCAACTGCAGTTAGCACAGAACAATAGCAGTAGGATGAAGATTACTTTTTGGCATAGCTAGGAAGCCAATGATGGCAACAGCGTCACGATGTGCACGTCAGACATTATTACGAACATTGCCGATTGATACATACAGCAGATAGTAATTGTTGGCGCCAGTTGCCACTGAAACGGTCGTCTTGTCACTTCCAAGTATAACCGGAACAAAGGTCGAGCCAGTTGTATCCGGATCTTTGGAAATAATATCCTACCAAAGATTGTCAGCGTGTATAGCGACATATAACAAGAAAAGAGAACATACCGCTTGGTCCCAGGCCCAGTCGCCGGACATGAAGTCCTGCCATTGGCGTTCATTGTCGTCAGTCGAGAACTCACGGTGAGTCAGTACGACTATGGAAGCCATGGCCAGTGGGCCATGGGACTCTGACCACACACAGGGAACAAGATGGTGGAAAGGGTGCAGTCTATCTACTAACATGCGCTATATGTATCTATCTAGCTGCCTCGAGGTCCAGGCAAGACCCCTGGCACCTCTAGCAGACCCCTGGCCTAGCCCCTGGCCAACCCCTACCGACACAACGGTAGGGCTGGTAGTCCATCTCCGTGGCATAGTCAGGGTTTGCCAACATGTTTCGAACAACCTCATGGGGGTCTCGATACCAAACATCGTGAGATTGACCCATCCACAGTGGTACATTGTGTTCCGGCTTCTCCCCCGTGTACTGGACCCTGAAAGATTGCCATTTGACATCACCCACTGGTGTACTGTCAATGGTTTTATGTAGATCACGGCAGTCCGCAAACGGTGGTTTGTCGTTATGTTTCAGGAGGGTTGCAGCCCAAAGATCCAATAAGACGTTGATGTCCCCGGCAGACATCTGGTTGCGCGTGTACAGGAATTCGGCAGTCTCGAATTTGACGCGATCCCGGTATGGAGTCCAGTCATCAGGCGATTTGCTTGGAGGTGGCGTTGGGGATGCTCCGTCTTCAAGGAATTGACCTGTCGCATCACAAGGACGAGCTTGTGTAAATACCCGTGTTAATTCTAACTAGCTGGAAAAGGACCAAGAAATGTACCGTTTAGTTTTGGGTGATAGTTGCGGTATAATCTATCACCTGGCCCCACAAACTGTGTGTCCAGGTTGTCAGGCTCATCGAGAGCCTGACCCGCGTCAGATAAGCCTGCGGAGAAGTCATCATGTCCTGTGAGGAAGTCGTTGTGTGGTTCTTTGGGCTCATCTTCGACTGTAGCAGTATGCGAGACGCTGGTGGTAGGAGCTGATATGAATGTTGGGTGCGAAGCATTCCAATGCTTTTTGCGCCCTGCCTGAGTCTTGAAGTAGTGTTTACATTTCAAGTACCCACATGGAATCTGAAGGGCGCTGTGGTCCCTGCGAGCAGCCTTGGGCATCTGATGGTAGTCAAGTCGAAGAGCCGGCCGAAAATGCGTGATGACCCTAAGTTCAACGTACTATGTAACAAAGTCCGATTAGTGTGTGTACATACTTGTTTGGGGGCTTACGAGTTTTCCCAACTTCCAAGCCTGCCTTTCTCTCTCCAGCAAAGGTTTTGCCCTTCGTCTTACTTCCCAAGTTGTAACCTCATCTCCTCAGTCATGTCTACCCAAGACGCTCCCCGTCGCACCTGTCCATCAAATGCAACCGCTCGGCCTGGCCAGATAGTGCTTGACGCAAAGACCAAGAGGCGTACCAAGGCGCAAAAGGCCGCCGACGACCTTGCCCTCAAGGAAGCGCAGGAAGCACAGGTCCAAAAAGGGCAGGAACGCTTGGCTAGTATGCAAAATGAGATGGAGAAAGTGCAGGAAGAATTACTCAACAAAAAGGCGATCCCCGTTCGGCCCAAGCCAAGGGCTCGCAAGGCGACTAAGCCTGTAGTAAGGCGTGGTGTTGATCATACTGATAACATCATTGAGGCTGATGAGGCAAATGACCTCCAGGAGGTTGTCGAGACCATGGAGGCTGTCGAGACCATGGAGGCCGTCGAGAACATGGAGGATGGAACCACAGGAGCAAAAAAGAAGAAGGTAATGAAGAAAGGCGGAAAGGCGCTGATAAAGGATGCTATCAGTAACATGCAAAAGAAGATCAACGAACCATCATCAAAATTGGAAGGTGATAACGCCAATAACATGGCACGTGTATCTGATGGGAAAGATACGCCAGCACCGTAAGGCTTCCTTCTCTCACCATCAGATGTTACTCCTCACTGAATCAACATTGTATTTCCTCAATCTCACCTCCAGTTTCAATGCTACCACTCAGAAATTCACATTGGGTGGCCGGGTGACCAATTGGATTTCAGGCATCAAGCCCGGGAAATCAGAACCCATGTCCCGCGCATCCAGCACCTCATGTCCAACTCGAGTGCCTCCAACATCAATTTTCTCACAAGGCACTGCCTCCACCGCGGTGTAGGGAACTAGTTCCCTGTGGCCTTGTATTGACAGTTTCTACCTAGCCTTACTTACCCCTTTCCTTTGTTTATGTTGGCATTTGACTGCTTACCTAATCATCAAATCTTCGCCCTACACTTCCACTCATCAGCAGTATTCAGTTCATATTCTGGTAGCTCCCCTTCTAGGGTTAAGTAGTAGCTTCCCCAGTTTGTAGCTTCTCTGGTTGTAGCTTCTTAGCTCACTAGTTTGCTCCTGACACCAAGTTCTAGCCTCATTGTCTGGAGTGACACCCTCCCTCTCTCTCTCACACACACACACACACACACTCTCTCTCTCTCTCTCTCTCTCCCTGCTTGAGCACTCCCTAGTCAAGAAAGCCTGGGTCTTACATTGTCTCTCAAGACATAGCAGCTAGGCAGCAAGACCCAACACCTACTGTTACTCAGCAGATTTGTTGTCCCCACAGCGGCAACTTCGGATGCACAGGTTCCAATTTGCAAGCCTGTGGCTCCTGTTGCAGAAGACCTCATTGGCAACTTTGCAGATGATATTGATGATATGTTGGAATGCGAGGCCACGATTGCCCAAGGCAAGGGGAAATCGAAGGTGAGTAGCCACTGTTTGATCATTAGTATCCGCGCGCTACTAATTATTTGTTTCGCAGGTGGCCTCGATATTCAAAGATAACGTGGACTTCGACAAGCCTAATGCTCCGGTAGCGTATGAGCTGGATGATTCTGTGACTTCATTCACAGAACAGGAATGGTACTCGCAGGAGCCCAAGGCCCCATTCACGCTGATCGAAAATCGCGGGACCCTCAAGCGAAAAGCTAGCGTGGAGGACCTCTTAGATGACGAGGAGGAGTCTATGGTGTCTGACTGGTCCATGGATATTGAAGGCCCCGGTTTTGAAGACACATTCGAGCCCGAGCCTCCAGTGGTAGTGAAGAAGGAGAAAGATCTTCGCACAACATTCTCAGTAAGGACACTAAATATAATCGCACTCACACTGACCCTCGTAGAGACATCGGTTTCGGTTGTGACTTCTGTCCCTGACAGCAAACCACCTCCTCCCAAAAAAATCAAAGTCGGGGCATCCACTGCACGTGCCCACAGCACTCACGCCATCAAACGCCAGCTCAACATGGACACTGTGCCGGAGAGAAACCTCGTAGTGCATATCGTAATGTTGATTTACCTGCCACGTTGCAGGTAGATCAACACTGGGCAAAGAAGTATCTTCCTACCGTCATGTTATGGGCTGGAAGTTATGAAGATCTCTGGACTATCCCAGACGACGTTCTTCTCCTTCATGCGCAGCTAATTTTTAATGCTGTATTCAAGGAGCTGAACATCACTATTGTTCACAGCGGCGCGATTCATTCCCTTGTAAGTTCACTATTTTATATTGAGCTTTACTGACTGTACTCGTAATCAGACTGCGCAGCGAATTTCTGAATGGCGCAGTAACTTCGGCTCGACGGGCCTGGTCATTATCCTGGACTTCTTATCACGAAACTCTGACTGTGGTTCTGTTCAACTTGCCGCCTACCTTCTCGCAGACTATGCATTCCTATTCGAGGACCCCGACAAGCCAAGTCCCCTCACGACATATCGTTCTCCTTTTGTATTACAGCTGGTGGGTACAGCGCATCTTAACGCATCAGTGGGTACATTGACGTTCCCGACCTCAACACACACGCACTTGCAACAAGGGCCATCAGGATGTCGGGCGTTATTGCCCTTTGTGCCGCAGCAGTAAGTTTGATTTTAGATTAATTTAATTCGCACTTATTTTTGTTTTAGATCGAGTGCGCCCTGGGAACGTTCGCAAACAAAAACTTGAAAGTCAAGGATATATTGGCGTCCAGTGCCAGAGGTAAACTCGTCATCAAACTACCCAAAGTGCTCAACAAGTTCACCGGGAAGATGACCAATGCCCCATTTTTGTTTTCAGCGGCTCGCTGGGCCAAAGTCACCACATCATTCATGAAGTCTATCTCGAGCAAGCCTGCCGGGTATGTAGAGACCACAGTACAGATGGCGCGTGCTTGTACTGCCTTGAACGACGCCATTGAATCACCGCAGGACTCGCTTAATGACGACGAATCGGAGGACGATGAACGTGCTATGCTTTGTAAGTACTTGTCATTCCGGTTTCATCCAACTGACATTCATCATTGTAGGATGTTGTCTTCTACTACACCCGCCGGTGGAATCCCGCTGTTGTATCATCATTTTTGCCGCCATTTTTGCCCCCACATGTCCGCCGTTTTTCCTGTACCCCCAGCTGGCTCTCGACTTTTTATATTAGAGAGTCTCCTTAATTTTCTGCTTTCTCGTGTATGCCTGCTTTTTAATGAAACACTTGTGCCGCTTTTTCTGGTTTTTTAAGTGAAATAAGTGTGAAATAAGCGAAAATTCAGAGATGGAGTGGGCTTAATTAAGTGGTTCACGCTTTTTCACTCAAATGACTTAATTGTACTTTTCACGTCATTAAGTGACAAATTAAGTTAGAAAAGGAACCAGTGGTTTTCCTGATGATTGAGGAATCGAACGAGTGGATGGGTGGCTATCGGATTGGATAATAGGGGGGGCAAGGAGGAGGCTTTCCGTCCAAGTGTTTCGACTAGTGCATGATGATGACGGCGGTAGGATGGGCAGTCGAGGAGGACGTGTGATACGGTTTCATCTAGATTTGGACAATGAGGGCATCGCGGGGAGAGTGCTTTGCCTATTCGATGTAGATGGTGGTGAAGTGGCTGGCTACTTAATGCCGCTGTCCTCTTCCATGATATATGACGACGGTTTAGACGTTGCGTTTCTCATCAGGTAAACGACCCGAAAATGATAAATCATTAGAAGGCTTTATCTGATCTAAAATATGCACAATAATCATCACATTTGTACCCCTCATGAGCAAGCTTTGAATACTTGGACTTAGTTGGATAGAAACCGTCAAATGCACAACCGTGACAGCTTAGTCACAATCACTTGCCAGCTTGTCACCGAAATTGCACATATTGCAACACCCATCAGACGTGGCAATACAATATTAAGTTGTTGAGACCAACCGCCGTCGCCTACTCGAGAACCAGCTGCAATATACTATAATTCTGCCCTACCTTGGTGGTGGCATGTAGCCTTTGACTGCTTTTACTTCCTCCGCAATCTCTGAACTAATGACAGTGTCAGATAATCTTTTATATGGTTGGACTGTGTTGGACCATAACTGCCAATGGTCCAACGGTGCCAAGTGTATTCAACGCAGTATCGAGCTCTGCCGACGAGGTTGCCTTATGCAAGCAGAGCTTGTCATTGTACTCTCGACAAGAACCCCCTCGGTGTCGACCTTAGGTATGCGGTTGCAATTCCTGCTTGCATTGCTCCGACCTACCAAGTGCACAATCTGGGCGACGAATGGCAGTGGATTACCATCTTCCCCAACCTCGACGAGGTCCGATAAGTGTATGCACGATGAGATTTGAATTTTATACACCCCAACATATAAATTAATGACAGTGTGAGTTAAACTATTATATGGTTGGATTGTGTTGGACTATAACGGACGATAGTCCAATGGTGCCGGGTGTATCCAACGCAGTATCGAGCTCTGCCGACGTGGTTGCCTTATGCAGGCAGAGCTTGTCATTGTATTCTCAACAAGAACCCCCTTGGCGTCGACCTTAGGTATGTGGTTGTGATCCCTGATTGAGATACGACAAACGTACACGAAAATAGTTCCTTGTTGCATGTTCCCCATTCTCTCTCTAAATGCTGCAATCTTCCAAAGCCAGACATTTTTGGATGGGGACCTCTTTTATTCCCATGGTGCGGAGACATGGCAGCGTAGTGCTATCCGTCGGATAGCCGCTGAGCTGTGGTCATCATATGCAATGTAATCGAGTCTATTTTTCTCCGC